CCTCTAGTAATATATTTACTGAGAAATATGGTGACGTTTTTAATACTTATTTTACCCGCTGTAGTTGACTGTGTTATGTTCATGAGCCACTTTACTTAACAAACAAACAAAAATAAAATAAAATAAAATAAAACAATCAAAATACAATACTACAGTTTAGAGAGTGGGAGGCACCTGGTAGCTCTGTCGAACTGAGCCGTTATAGAAACAGAAAATGTTGATGAGGTGCTCCAGGAGCTCACAGACGCTGACAGTAGGGACGTCCATGGAGCAGCCCAGAGCCTTGGATGACAAAAACACACACACACAGACACACAAAAAACAAGTGTAACCATCAGCTTCTGGGAAGGACTGACGTGAGCTAAACCCTGAAAATGATCTGCATGTTGCTGAACGACCCTGCTCACCCAGAAGAGGTCCTCCTTGGTGTGGATGGCAAACTTGCAGCGCCGCAGTGTGAGTGTGCGCACAGGCGAGGAGGACAGCTCCGACACACAACGGGCCACGCCTGCCAGCTGACCACACAGCAGGTCCTGCTTATCTAAAGGGGTCTGACACAAACACAGACCACCACAGTCAGAGCCCTTCCTCTACTATCCTATGAACACGAGATTTTCTAGGTTTGACCAGAACAAATGAAGCTTTTAGACTCTCGGCATGAAAGGCAGCAGGTAATAAGACTTCCTGGGTCTGTTCAACACGTTTATGACTTGAAAGGCTCAGACCTCCTCGGGGTAAAAGTAGCAGATTCCCTGTCTTGTGGGGTCACCTTCTCCTCTGACCTTAGAGCCATCATAGAGGAAGAAATAAACACACCTGCAACACAAAACACAGAGGGGTCAGGTGAGAAACTGAGGATGACAGGTGTTTTACGGGTTTTTGGTGTTTTAAATGGATCCCACCTCCTCATGTGGGTCCAACATAACCCTGCAGTCAGGTCTTACCTTCTTGTGTCCAGCAGCATGAGATCAGCCATAAGTTACACTGTATCCATGTGTTTCTGCACTGCGGAAAAACTTAGTTCAAAAACAAATTCCAGCTTCGACTCTGACCTGCTGTTTTAACTACAAACTTTAAAAAKAAAAAGGAAACTAAGTTTCCAAACTCAAGTTTGTTTATATGAGGAAGACGCAGTTTATCAGRTTGAGCCGCCTGTAAACTTCAGGCCAGTCACACGGAGAGGAAGTCATGTGAGACTACGGAGAGCAGCGAGGGACAAACTGGTGCGACGTTTATATTAGAGCCATGAAAACAAGCTCAGGCTGAAATACAAACAGTTACTGTACCATTTTACCACTTAAAGCAGAGGTGTACAGTAACGAAGTACAAATACTTCGTTACTGTACTTAAGTAGAATTTTTGGGTATCTGTATTTACTTGGGTAATTCTTTTTCAGCCTACTTTTTACTTTCTACTTACATTTTCTCACAATTATCTGTACTTTCTGCGCCTTACATTTTAAAAACAAGAAGAGGAAAGTCATCAATTTTATTTCATTTTTGCTTTTATTCCTCTCAGCTGCTTGTAAAAAAGTAAAAACTATCCATATAAATTGTGCCTCCTAGATAGAGTGAATTTAATTATGGTTGAATGAGAAGTATTAATCTATAAAATTCTAATAC